CGACACAAGACGCTCCGGGTAATGGAATATGATGCAACTTACAGTTACTTAGTTAGGCTTAAACGTAAACAGTAAAGTGTAAAAGTATGACTTAAGTACAACCACAAAAAGTTGGTCATTATTATGGCATTCGTATCCTTAACTTACGCTCCCTAGTAGATTAAACTAAACGGCGCGTGTCACTCCGCCAGACAGCCGGACGCGTGATGCAGGCGTCGCGAGATCGACGATTTCACGTTCCGCTCGAATTTTCGTGTCGCTTTCCCTCCGTGCTGTGCCGGCCTCGTGATCTATGAAGTCTTCTTCCACGCTCGCACGCAATCTCGTTGATCAATGGACCCTAACAGTCCCTCTATTATCGCTCCTGTAATCTTTTTCACCGCTCCCGAGCGATCCGCTGTTTCGTTCACCGTACTTTAGCGCAACTTGGATTAATATCGATCATCGGAGACGCCGTAGTCGCGACGTCGGGGGATTTATTAGTGCCGGCTGCTCGCGGAACCATACGAATATACGTTAAATCAATTATTTCTCCGACGAACGCCGCGGAATATCTCATTTCTGCTGAAACACATTGTACGCTCGAGTCACGCGAGCATTGAAGATGTTCTGCGATGCTCTTCCAAGATGGCGAAGAGAACACAGCTGTCGCCGCCATCTTGAAGAAGGAAGTTCGAAAGCGTCCGATTTTGCGTAACTATCACGACGATCATTGTTTCGGAATTTTTCGGCGTCTGTTTGATCGTTAGTCTCGATAGACCATCCCTCTATCCGATTGGATGTTTTTTGAAGCGACCGCAGGCGTCTCCGAGTTCTTCTAACCGGAACCCTATCGTTTTCAAAGGCAACGTGAATTTCCAGGGAAATGTGTCTCGTTTAGGTCTGATCTCAGCGAAGAAGTTTCCCGGGTTCGTTTAAAAAGTTCGTTCGCTGGCCAACGATCGCAGAATGCACGTATATAGTAAAGTATCCGCTCTCATTCTCCTTCGGCTTTCGTTCGCGTGTTTCGCGGTGTCTCTCATGGAATCGCTACGATCCATGGTCGGCGAGCTTTGTCGTTCGAATAGATGTCGCGGCTGCGACTAATTAATTAAAGGGACGAGTGGTGGGTTCGTCGACGGACCCGGCCCTCCGTCGTTGCTTGAGCTCTGGCTAACGAGTTTTGATTAGTCGAAGACGTCGGAGATCCATGGCGCCCCATCCGGACCGCTCTTTGCCTTCTTCAGCCCTTCGTCGGTTCGAATCTGAAACAAGAAACCGATCGATCAATCCGCGGACAATTAAATCGACTCAGTCCCGCAACGAGTACCGGCCTTTCCCTCGCACACTTTCGAAAGAGCTCTACGCATTAAGCGTAAAAATGGTCGCTCGGCTCAGAATCGTTTGTCCACGTTGCTCACGCCAGAAAAACTGGCGCACGCAAGACCTTGGACACTCGCCGGTTATATAGTTCGATCTAATGACAGTTATCGGCGTCTTATAACAGGCATCGATTTTATAGTTTCCCGATTAATCGAGTTCTCCCGCTGTATAAGCTTTCACGATGTGTTTACCGGCCACTAGGAAACAAAAACCACGTAAACATCGCGTTAAACTGTTTTCTTCCCTCGAGGAGACGGTCCGACGATCGTCGGTGCTCGGTTCGTAATCCTCGCCGCGATTTCCAAGCGCGAAACGCGATAATTCGGAAATACCGGTCGGCAACGGTACCTAAATCACAGGGTTCCCGCCGAATTTGGGAACTGGTTACTTTCGTCCGGCGAATCTGGCACACGAAGAGCTGGCTCGTAAAGCTATAAAAGTGAAACGTAACTGTACACCGGCCACTCTAATTGGAAAAGAATCCGAAGAAGAATGCCCGTCTGAATCATCGCGTACGTCGAGATTTCCGCGAAAAACACGGTAAAGATCGCCGGACACGCTACATCCGCGAAGTGTTGACCGTTCAAGGTCGAGCGATTCTCCGCGCGGGATTTGTCTATTCTACGAAGCTATCATCTTTCTGCCGGAAAAATTCCGGGCATCCGATGTGTCTTCTCGGTAAATATAAACGAGGATCAACGATAATAGCGTCTGGCAGATGGTATCTCCGCCAGACACCACGGGTATTACGGATCTCCGTCGCGTTGCCACGGCCGATTTGCGGATCTAGGCTCTCCTCGTTGCAAACTCCACCCTCTAACACCTTCTCTAGACGAGAGAAGGCCTGTGTAAGCAGAGATAATCCCAGGATCAACACAGAGGCCCATTTGATCGGCTAGATCGCTACCAATACCACGGCGATCTGTAATCCGGAGAAAAGGGGAACGATCCGTGGGTGACCAGAGAGCTGGTGCTCGATCCTCGCGAGCACACGCGACGGCTGTTCAGATGCCTACCTAGGGCAGCCTTAGTAATCGGCCCTCGGAGCGGCACCAATAATTTGACGTAATTTAATAAACGCGACCCTGGATCCGCGTGCGTGCGCCAGGTCGCGCGACTATCATTATCGACAGTTTGATCGTATCTGGCCAGTGCGTAATGACGATGCACCTAGTCACTGAGCCGAGGCTCGCTCGTGCCCGGCCGTCTCGATCATCGGTCATGCAAATTGCCGATGCAGAACGCCAACCGGCCATCCCCGAGTATATACCGATCTCCTCATATTCCGTACGTGGGAAAACAATGCGTCGAGCCCGCATTCGAGTCGAATTGGCCGGGCGTGGCTACGGGTCGCCCCGACAAAATGGCCGACCTTCGAAACTACGAGCCACAAGTTTTCTTCGTCCCTGGTTTCGTGTAATTGCGGGGTTAATCATTTTGTCGAAGCTTATTAAGTAATTTATCGGATAACCGAAGAAACTGAATAAGCATGGACTCGGCTATTTGAACCTTATTCGGCCGCCATATTGCTTTACAGATGGCGACGATGGTTACATCCCTTCGGTCAGCTCGAAAGATTGAAGAGCTCGCTTGGAAGGTGGTTTTTATTGTATGCAATAGTTCTCGTGGAACAGATTCACTGAAATTGAATGACTGTGTAGCCACGTCAGAAGATAAGTGAAATACTCGCGTATCCGAAAATCGTAGCCGCCATGTTGTCGGCCGCGCGGCGTCGACAGTCGTATACGAAGCCTATCCCGGCCGATTCGAGAACGCTTCCGCAAAAAGCTGGTCGGTCTGTACGTGCCACCTGAATACCGTGGTCGTTACGCTCCTGCCGTTTCCACTGACAATCGCGGGTTTCGACGCGGGTAGGAACGGCCGAGCGACATTTGACATTTCGATTGGCTCGTAAACGGTACCGAAGTTTTTTGCTCGTTCCGCCGGCACTAAGGGATTCCCCCGTTGGTCCGCGGTGACTCTGCACCGGGACCCGGGGACTTCATAATCTCCCCCGGTGCCATAATAAACGAGCGGACGACGGGGCCCGCGGCTCGCCGCGGAATCATCGGTACGATCGAGCGGCACTTTACGCGCCGTATGAGATTCAATTGAAACATCAAGAATTTCAGTGGCGGCCGCGACGTTAAAGCGGCGTCTTTACTATCCGCGAGCGCGTAATATATGAAAGCCGGCGTAAAATAAATAATGAAATATTATGATTCCGGCCAGAATTGGATCGTTATCGGGATGATTCATGGGACGGTGGACGCACTCGTTCACGGTAATTTCGTGCCCCGTGCAGGCCGGGCGAGGGGAGGCCGATCGAAACGCTCCGGAACGTCTTCATCAGGAATGTTTTATCGCGGGGGCAATTAAAATCCCTCGTTTATTGCCGCCGGTATGTAATACCGCCGGCGTAATAGCGCGCTTCTAATAACGGCAAACGCGGCGCGTCAGCCGGCTGCCATGCCACCTCTTCATCGAGGAAACTGGACTGATTCCGATGCACGCGTGCACGCGCGACTTTCCGTTGGACACCAGGCTCTCCCAACGATCCGCGGTTCTTCAAATCTTCGCTCTGAAGCGCAGGGGTTGCTGCTGACAAAGGCTAGCGACCGGCGGCTAGAAACTTCCAGACTCATAGCAACGAGGAATCGAGAGACGCTCGAGAAACGCGTCTTTGAAGTTCCAAGTGGGAATTAATGAGACCTGGACGAGGTAGTTGACACCTGATGAACACTCCACTGCCTCCTCGAAATTCTTAGCACTCCATTTGAACTTCTACTTCACAATACAGAGACTCGCTAGAACACAGTCCGGGTTACTTAACGCTGTTAGACTCGAGGTCTCCAACGAACCGGCCAATCGGAGAAGAGCAATATCGATCTGCATGTTTAGAGAAGGAATATTGTGCTCGGAGATCCGGACAGCGTAGCATCACTGAAGTTCCAGTCCTCGGGGAGGAATTTAAAAATAGGATCGCGCGCCATTAACGGATCGTTACGATTCCGAGAGATTCATATCCGCGAATAAAGTGAAATACGAAGCTAAAACCGCTATTTCGTCTCTCGATCCTCGATATATTTCACCGTGCGCTCCGAGCAGACTCCGGAGCACCCTGTATATTTCCGTTACAATCCGCGGCGTAATCATGATCAACTTATGGAGTTTAATTAGGATTACTCAACGGTTACGCGATGATTTAATATTCCACGGGAGGGGGGTGGGGGACGGGAAGCAGATGGAAAAGCGGGATGAAAGAAAAAACAATTAATGAGGATCGTTGCGCGTTCCAACGGGGAATCGCGGCGATGGAAACGATGGAACGAACAGCGAGCAACGGAGGAAACGCGTGTCGGAATCATGTTCTCCGGCTCTTCCTGGCTCGGCGACCGGCGGCGACACGCCTCCCGTCCGCGTCCTCGCCTTCCCCGTTCCACCCCCAGCATCCCCTTACGGCCGGCCGCGGATTCACAGTTAAGAGTTACGAGCCTTCAGACTGATTATTAAGCCACGAAGATTTAGCGCGCCGCTTTACGCGCCGCGGTTCGATCCGTTGCGCGGCTAAAAACTCGATTGGCTGGACGTTTTAATCAATCCTCACCCGGCTCCCCGCATCCATCGGCAGACCTGTCCCCAATTTCTTACTGTGATTTCCGTCCTCTTCCGAGCGCGTTCTTCTACCCGGTTAATTTATTCCTTCCCGTTCTCTCCTTTTTCGACCTACGAACCGGTTCGAAGCGCGGCGCGGCAGGGAAGAAACAGGCGAAAAATTATAAAAGGGGACGGGGCTCGCGGATAATTCCAGCGATTTTTTCAATCGAGCGAACATCGCCGCGTCCGGCGAACCAGCCATGCTTTTTCAATCTCGATCGGCGATCTTTAATTGCCGGAACGCTCGACAAATTCACCCGTCCCCGGCCACCAGACAACAAGTTCATCCGACAAATTGAAACGATAAATCACCGCGGGCGAGGGTGTACCGGCGAGATTCGATCGCCGCGTACGATTCCCGATGGATGATCGAACGCCGCGAGCGACGGGGGTGGAGAAGAGAGTTAATAGAGTGCTCGCGCGTTGTTCGCGATTTTTTCTCGTATCCTGGGTACCTTCCAGCGGTGGCGAAAGCGGAAAAATCGCCGGGACAAAAGACGTCGTTTCGAAGGTCGACTTTGGCAACAGTCTTCGGACGAGCGGTCTTCGATAAATCTCAAGGCGACCCGTCCGAACGATCCCGCCCCCCCGACAATGTTAACCATGGCGTCGATCATATTTGTAAATTATTTATCACTCCGCCGGTAAGCGGCAATTACGCCGGGCCCCGATGAAATATTTCAGCCGGCTGTAATTGTGCGAAATCCGCGCCGCGACGCGCGACGGGCCGGCCTTGGCGTCGTTATTAATAATCGATAGGGGATCGATCATGTTCGCCCGATGGTTGTATCGAAGCTTTTATAAATAGGGAACTGTGAACACCTGAATCGGGTGATTACATTTTTCATCGCGCTCCCTGGATTCGTTCTCGTCTTCGCGTCCGCTCTGTAAATTCATTTCGACACGGTGATAAGACGAATTGAACTGTTATTATTCTTTCTCAACGAAATCTTTGGTCGACTCGAGTTATTAATTAGTTAATTTATATTTAATATAAGCATCGTCAAATAGAAAGGTGTAGAAAGGAATTGTCAGCTAACCCTTTATCGGCCTGTGTAACTTTGAAGTGTATGTCAGTGTACTGGCATCTTGTTGATTTAATTAATTTCGTACGTCGAGGTAGCCAATGACGCGAAGTAATTAATTACTTTAAACAAATACATATAGGCGTAAACGTTCGACGTCGTTGTAACTTCAAAGTCACCAAATACATTCGTTTTAATAG